TTTTTTTTTTTTTTTTTTTTTTTAAATCCCAAAACAGGGTAAAGTTACATTGGCAAGATCATTGGTGATATTTAAACAAGGAGCAAGTCAGTGAATAAGTATTTTCATTAAGCATGAGATTTTGGGCCGGTCTCACGTGCAGAGCTTGATTTTTAAAAAGTGCCAGAAGTACCAAAAGTATCCAACCCTATTTTAAGTCTGACTTAATTCCTTAAGATCACGTCATTGCTTTGATTAAAATGCTAAAGGCCTTGTGTGCAGTTCTACATTGAATAATAAATTGGTTGTTTATAACCCTTTACTATATATACATCTAGAGAAATTAAAAACAACAACAACAAAAAACCAGGTGCTTCCTCTAAAGTCTCAAACAAATGTGGTTTGGAGTGGAAGCCAGGCATTTGTTCAGAGTTCTAAAGTTGATTCTCACGTACAGAACCACTTACCTAAAAATCTGCATTCCATATTGTTTTAGCGATGTGTTGGTTTTAAAGTAGAGGCCAGAGAGGGATTCTTCCTATTCTGTACCCTCATCTATGGAATTTGTTTCCAGGGGTTAATCTCCAGTTGATTCATTCTAGAAACTTTTGCTAATTATATCTAATTAACTGCCTCAAGTAGGGAAAATTGATTTGCTATGCATTTTACGAAGAACTATTAACCATATATCTGAGAAGTTTGATCAAATAACCTGCTATGTATAGCAGCAATTGAAGTTGCACGTAATTATAGTTAAATGTTGTTTTCTTTCAAGCCAGTTAATGTATTTTATATTTACCAGCATTTTAAGTTCCTAACTTTACACAGTAGGTCTCATTTTATGAAACAAACTAAGGCAAGTTTTATGCCACTTTACAAAGTGCAAATATGAATGTAATGCTTTAAGGTAGAATAAAATGGAACTGTTTCTTAAGAAGATTAAAATCTTCCTTGCCAGCTGTATTTGTGTTCTTGTTAGAAACCCTAAGAAGTATTCAGAAACCTGAGAGCAGTATGGCCCAAAGCAGATAGACTGGTTTTCATTGGAATAGTATTACAGGCCCTGCTGCTTTTGTGGTCTTGCCATTTTTAAGATTCCAGCAGTAAGTTCCTGCTTTTCCGTTTTCCTCCTTCCTGTTCCAAACGGTAGTAGGTTGGTCCTTCCACTTAGCATTGGTAACACATTGCTGGTGACATGTTGGGATGTTTTTGGCTTAAAGTAATAGAAAACCCTCATGCAAGTGATATGGACAGTAAAGAAATTAATTACTGTCTTCAACAGTAGGTTCCAGGAGTTCTGGAGCGTAGATTATTTAGCATGTCTTCCCTGTTTTCTGAGCCAAAGCTTTGTCCTTAGCTCCCTCAAGTTCAGAGTTAGCTGCAGCAGTTCGGAGGTTCCGTCTAGGCAATGATGATATTCTGTATTTTTCTGAGATACAGAATATCATTTGTCAGAACTGGGTCCTACACCCTTGCTGTACGGCATCACAGAGGGAGGGAAGTGAAGCTGTCAGAAAGATGAGAAGTGTAGGCGAGTCCATCAGAGGGAGCAGGTTTCCCTCCTGCTGGCAAGGTACTGCGAATGCTGACTGGGACACAGGAGTGGGTGGACACCGGGACTCCGAGACAGCAAGATGGTCGGTACGCAGGGCTTGTCTGCCTTTTAAACCAAGAATCCTTTCCCTGTTTTTCATCCTTGTCTCCTCTCTGTTGTCGTTTAGCTGGGGCTGAAGTGACTCAACCTGTCCTCTAAGTTTTACCCCTGCGTAAGTTTGCCAGTGGTTTTTCATTAAGTTTATGTCATAGTCTTCATATTTCCTTTTAAATGGTCACCACACATTGCCTGATCACGTAAGAGTTTATGGTCATCTTTAGTGCATATTAAATTTATAGTAAGCCTTAACACGCAGTATCCACCCACCATTTTTAACATTAGATTTTATTTTCCAGATTGAAATTTTATTTCACAGATTACTGTCTTGTGAAGGCTGGTAGCAGAGCAAAAGTAAAATGGGTAGCTGAAGAGAAAAAAATAAGTGACACTTTCTAGAGGGGGTTGAAAAACAACTAATCACTGAGTACAGAACCAGCATTTTATCCATAAAGTAGCTTATAAAAATCATTTACGAAGAAAAATTATTTATCTAAAATTTAGTGAACAAATGATTGCCTAATGTCTTAATTTAATGTATTGTTTAGTGAAACAGTTTTCTTTGTTGGTTATAATATTAGCTTTTCCTGAGACATACATTAAATATTGCATAATCCTAAGACATTTTTTCTGATACTGTGTGTATTATTTTTAAGTCTCTCCTGCATTATTGTAGTTTCTCAGCAAATTGAGAATTTTATTTTCATAGTGGATTTATAACCTAATAGAACCTGACCCTTTATCCTGTAATTATATAAAGCATTATAAATAAATAAAACTTTAAATAGCATATTTTAATTCTTTAATATAAAAAAGGAAAGAAAAAGCTAAGATCCAAAACACAGGATAGCCTAAGGAATTTTACTGACCCACAGTGTTATAATATGGTTAGCATTTGTGTTTTCTGTCTTGTTCCAGTACTATAATAATCTGAGGATTATGGTCCTGTGATTTCTAAAGTTGCAGTACATATCTGTGTAAGGAGTTTAAAAAGAAAGTATGCTGCTTGTTATTTGATCTT